TATATATATATATATATATATATATATATATATATATATATATATATATATTAAAAATCAAATATATTTTGGACTAAATACGTAGAATACTATTTTGAATTGTTTATCATTAAATAATGTATTATTTATGTATTATTTATGTTTTAAAGTATTTATTGTTAACTGGAAGATTAACTAATAGATGAATATGTATTTTTTATGTTTTAGAATATTTTTGGTAGGATCTTACGATTCAATTCGATTTTACGATCACAATCTTGCAAAGCGGAAAATGATTTTATATAAGATCCTGATCTTAACAACCTTATTATAAATTAATACATACACAAACCTATTTTGGATATAAAAACAACAATTCTACACGTACAAAAACACACAAACACATAAAATAAGAATTTTGTAAACATTTTACTTTTCTAATTTAAAAAAAAAAAAAAAAAAGAGTGATTATTTTAACATAGAGCGAAAAATTCATGGTTAAAATAAAGAACACAAGCACATACTCTGATGTTTTGTTTTACATTTAACAACTAAAACAATTGTTTCGTAACGACAAGATTGATAGAGTGGTTCAAGGGTGATTGATCATTGAAAAAAGTTAAAAAAGAAACCTGAGGGGCTTACTAAGAAAGAAAAGAGAAGTACATGGGCTCAAGTTGTCGATTAATAAAAGGATTATAAAGAAAAAACATTTCGTCGCCTGAGAGATTCGAACTCTCGCGGGGAAACCCCATGTACTTAGCAGGCACACGACTTAACCACTCGGCCAAAGCGACTTTGATGTCTATAGGAGGTTTGAGTGCTTAAAATACATATTTATTTGTGCTAATTTTTAGCTGTCGTCGATAATGGTTCGACTTTTTACAAATTGCAGCAATTATTAAATAGTACAAGTAACAGAGCTTCACACAACATATATTTCTCCCCTCAAAATTGTTTTGTATGCCATTTTATGTATTACTTTATCAAATTGCAGCAATTATTAAATAGTACAATAAAATTACTTGTTACCTCCTTTTAAACCTAATATAAAAGAGCTTCACACAACATATATTTCTCCCCACAAAATTGTTTTGTTTGCCATTTTATGTATTAGAGTATACGGTGTGGGTCACAACGAGAAACGAATTGGGTGAGTTGGCACATGAAAACGGTGTCACGACGCGGGGAACACCCCCCCCCCCCCAACTCGTTGAAGCTCGTTATGGCGAATCTCGTGGGCGTTAAGACGAATTGCAACGCATAAATTCGAACGGTTTCTTCACTCGACCGTTTGAAAACGGTCAAAATTAAATAATAATAAAAAAATTTACCTTTTATCCTTATTATAAATACTACTTTTAAACCATTTTTCTAAACCTTTATCTCATTCTCTCTATATCTTATACACATATCTTTTTTAAAAAATTTAAAAAATGGAGCTAAACCCAAACACCCCCCCTCCATCATCAAACTCAAACACAACCTCGCCTCTCGGATTCGCGGGTTATGAAAATTATTTCAACCTGTTATCGTCACAAGGCTCACCACAAATCTCATACCAAGGCGCCGCTTTCAATCCCGCTTCACCGCCACTGCAATTTCCCAACTCACCTTACCTTCAACAAAATCAATTTGGTCAAACCCCAAATTTACAACAAAATCGTTTCCCTACTTTTGCTTCGATGCAACAAACAAGCAACCAACCATCGCCTACGACACAACAATCGGTTGAAATGGAAGCGGGAGGTAGTAGGAGAGGGAAAGGGAAAGGAAAATCGAAAGGGAAATCGATAGCGGTAGAAACAGAAAATACAGACGTTCCACAATGGTGGACACCGGAGGAGGAATACGCTTTGACGGCGGCTTGGTGTGCTACTTCAAAAAACGAACTTCGCGGAAACAGAATGAAAAAAGGAGCTTATTGGGGGGCAGTGCTCGACAAGTTTCACGCTATTTTAAAGAAAAATCTGTATCGCAACAATGACATGTTGAGCAGCAAATGGGGTCAAATAACTAAGTGGTGCAGCAAATTCAACGGTATTTACAATCGGCTTAAAGCGCAACAACAAAGCGGAACCAACGATTTCGATTTGTTCAAATCTGCTAAGGAACAATATCGAGTTGAAATGGGTCATGTTTTCGACTTTGAAAAATCATGGGAATTGTTGCGAGCGGATCCAAAGTGGAATAAATCGCCTACATCGTCGGAGGTTCAATCTAAAAGGTCTCGCAATTCTAGCTCGGTCGACGTGTCGGACGCACGGACTAACATCGACCTAAACGCCAACGACGATGAGATCCCGAATGATATCCAAGAGATATCCCAACCACAACGACCGCTCGGACGCGACAAAGCGAGGCGCGCTGCAAGACATGCGGAGGAGGTAGAGACGAGAGCAAAAGAGGCGGCGGAAATGAGAGCAAAATTCGACGAACATAATTTATATAAAAGAAAAAAATGAGTTGAAACGTCGTCATTTGGAGTTCCTGGAAAGGCAGGCACGGGAGAAGCAGGAGCAAAAAGAAAGGGAACTAATGACACATCAGTTGTCAATTCTTCGGACGAGCGACGAGGGTTTGACGCCTGCTGATCTAGCGGTGCTACAAGCGATGAAGGAACAAATTAGGAAAAAATATTTGGGTTAATTAGGATTGTTATGTGGTTTTAGTAGTAATTTGAATGATATTTTAGTTATGATTTTAGGTTTAAAATTATGTTTTTTTAATTGTAATCGTAATTTTAGATTTTAAATATTATGTCTTTTTTTTTGTTTTTAAAATTTTATGTTTTATAAAAAATATATTCATGTTAGTGATTAAAAAAAATACAAAAACGAAAAAAAAACGAAAAATTAAAAAAAAGTAAAAAAAAACGAAAAAGTAAAAAAAAAACCCAATTTCGAAAAAAAAAATCAAAAATAAAACATATTTATTTTCAAAAAGTTGATGTTGCATCTTGTTGCCCATTTCCCCACTGGATGTTATAACACCACTTGTTTATGTGGCATGTGAGGTGGCACAACTTGGTGTTGCACCTTGTTGCCCACACCCAATGCTCTTACTTTATCAAATAATCAGTTTCTCAAGTAATTGTTGATGTCATTATTACATTTTGAACAGCAAAATAAGACCCAAACGTATCTCCTACAACTTGTACTATTTATTACAATGATTATATCCAAAGTACATCATGTTTCGGTAAATAATTTTAAATGACTATATTTCTATAAAAAAAAAATTGTCTTCGTTAATAGTAGGACGTCCTTAATAGTGGTCAAGAGTCGACCGTTTTCAAACATTAACAAAACTTCTGTCTTCCCTTTGAAAAAATGGTGAGATTTTTCCTCCATACCATTGTTTCATCTTTACCAAACTCTCCGATTTCTATTTCATTTTGTGCACAAACATCACAAACACGAAAAAAAATGAAACTCTATTTCGCCTGAAAAGCAGGATTTTGTAAGATTCTTTGCTCTCTCTTTCCTCTATCCTCCACAATTATAAGATCGATGGTTTCAACGTCGATCGGGGGGAAACGACATAGAAGATGGAGGTGCAAAGGATAATACAATTGCGGTCAATGTTTCATAGTAACTTTATACCCCATGCAGTGTTGGATCCAGAATTTACAGTATCATAAAGAAAAACTTTTCACGGCTTGTATGGCAATGAATCGGTTTCATCATGGTTTACAAATAACATATCATGATTTTTTACGTATGAATCTCCTGAAACGTCGACTTAAGGCTTTTCTATTCGTGTTATTTGTAGTTTCCATTCCATGGCTTGGATCTAGGGTTAGGAAAGACTTCATTCTTCATAATCAAGGAGATGATGTTGAATGTGGAATTGATAATTCAAGTGAACTTGAGATATTCGAATTGATCATTCGAAATTTGACAAGTGAAGGGTTGGTACGAATGCAAGATAGAGGTTTAATTGTTAACAATAATGGTAACAAGATGGATATGATGTCATACTCGGATCTAGAGATAAAACAACCAAGCATTGAAAATAAATATGACTTTGCGTTCATGCATGAAGGCGAAGAAGAACTGATAGATAAGGTACTTAAAGTTGATGGCATTATGGTTGTCCTTAAAAAGGACAACCATAAGGCAAAGGCTTCTGGATCATTTCAGAAGCCTTCAAACTACGAAATTATTTACCATAGACAATTTCCTGTCGCTATCATAGCCATGAAGAAAATTAGACTGATTGACGATAAGAACGATGCTAGTAATACAATTCCACACAGACGACTCATGTTCGCTCAAAAGAAAGCAGAAGCTCTAAAGAATCTTGAAAACGTCCTTCTAGAACCTCCACGAACGGTGTCAGGGAAATCCAACACGTACTCAAAGAAGACACGTTATCTCCCAGACTTGTTGCATGATTCTCTTGAAGACTACCCACGAAGAGTGTTCATAGATATTAATGGAGATGGAGGATGGTTCACAAAAAACTACCCTACAAGGAACATGAACTTTGAGATCTATCAAATCGAAACAACAGTACCTGAAATTACTAATACTGATACTAATACCGATGATGAGGCCATGGGCGAGTTGGTGGAGATTGAGATAACAGATTGGTTGAGGGAAAATGTGAGGAATGATGAGTATGTAGTGATGAAAGCAGAAGCGGATGTTGTTGAACAATTGGTGAATAATAAAGCAATAGAGTTGGTAGATGAGTTGTTCTTGGAATGTAAGTATAATTGTGTGAAATGTAAGAAGTGTAAGAGACCATATTGGAAGTGTTTGGCTTTGTATGGTTTGTTGAAAGATGTAGGTGTTGCAGTTCATCAATGGTGGGGATGATTTAAAAGAGAAGGAAGATGGTGAGATTTGTTTTGATTTGAAATTGTGGTTTTTGTTATATATCTTCAAGCAATGTTCAATGCGATGATAACTTGGGAGTTTTTTGTTTTGTTATGGATGTGTAATTAATATAGTAATTAGAAGAGAAAACTAGTTTGTGGTTTGGTTTGATGATATTTTGATAATTATTTTTAACACTGGGTTACATAAAATGTTTTTTTGTTTATATAAAAATATAAAATACATATTTGTACAACTCGAGAATCATAGCTTAAACAATAATGTAC